GAAACACACTCAAATTACCCTTGACAATAGCAACAGCAATGTCTCCATAACATCCCACTTCTTTCTCCTCTCTCTTTCAGAACCCAACACTCAGCATTTGGGGGGTGCTCCGTGGGGGTGGGGTATGAAAGTACTTCATCTTCTCACCAGGGTTTATCATTCATTGCAAAAGCATGCACATGAGTACAAAAGGTGAAAAGAAATGACAAGGGTGGCACGAGACAGTGAAGAATTCCACTTCACCTTCCCCATCCACAGAGCGTAGCATTTGGTTAGAATCGCTCCGTGGTTCCTGCACTCTCTAATACTATCAGTTAGACAAAGCAGAGATTCTTCTGAAACACAGAAGTCATCCTCTAGGCTGTTTAATTTTGATGATTAAACACATTGCAAGTGACTTACACTTGAGGGAGAAAATGAGAAGCCAAATTACAAATATAATGTCAAAACCAACTGGCAGAGTAAAAAGGAGAATTTTGTGGAGGTAACAGAGACAGTGATAGCAGCTCATCCACTGGGTACATCTAATGTCAGGAAGCCAAAAAGAAGAGAAAATCAGCAACCCCTGACATGGTTAACCTTTGTGAGTGTGAAGTTATCCATTGTAGAGAAAAGATGAACCATTCAGTAGTGTCCTTAAGAATTTCACATATTTTACTTGAAGCATTTACATAGGTTGAAATGGCTCACAGCTAGATGGCAGCTCCTTTCCTTAGGTAAAAGAAAGGCAAACAATTGCAATCATCTTCACAGTTATGACAGATGAACTCAAGACACTGAAAAAGATAGACATGTGGTAAAGTATTGGGTTGAATGCAAAAAAATATATATATTAAAAGGCTAACATAGATAAGGATTCCGGGCTTCTTTAAACTAAGGTAATCACTGACCATCAAGGGAAAACAAGAACCAATGAAAAAAAGTGCTAATATATACTCTCATTGTCATGCATTCTACACTTTATAAATCTATTGCATTTTCACTATGACAAAATACATTGCCATTTATTGGAGATGTTTCATGTATGCTTCAAACACATGAACATTTAGTCCCCTTCTCTAGTGGCTGCTTAATTTCAACAGATTCTTAAATATTTTTTATGGCTCTGACCCCATGAAGGAATGCAGAGACACTATGTACATCCGTATCTCCCTTTCGTATTGCAGTGAACATTATAAAGTATCATCCTTCACTTTAAGACTTCCATCTATTAATAAATATCTTGCTCCAGCAATTTTAAATAACTTTCCTTGATTTGATTTTTTGGTACTTTATTTCTTCCTGGACAGTCACAAGATCAGGAACTCTCAACACCGGTACTGCTGACATGTGCACAGTGCAATTTTTTTTTTCTTTTGACCGATGCATTCTGTTATGCAGGATGTCTTAGCAACACATCGAACCACTGTGAAGTAGATGCCAGTCATATTCCTTCCTCCAATCACAACAAATACTTTTACAAACTTGAAAAACATCTCCTGGAAGACAAAACCGTTCCCTTACTGTCTGCCCTTTGGTAAAGGAAAAAAAGAAAAAACATTGTTTGAGATAGGCACATTAGGTTAAACTGCCATCTACAATACCAACAGGAGCAAGAGTTAAATCACAAACAGCTCTCGGATAAGGCCCCCAGACATCAGAAGCAAAAGATGCAGCACGAGGATCCTTCCCACCTGCATGGGAGACTAGGATGGGGTTCCAGGTTTCTGGTCTGTTTGGCCCAGCCCTGACTGTTGCAGCCATATGAGGAAGGAGTCAGTGAATGGAAGATATCTTTTATTTCCTACCCATCACACCCTGTCACTCTGCCTTTCAAATATGTAAAGATAAGTTTAAAAATAAACAAACATAATCATCCCTGGAGATTAGCATGGTTATGAGTCCTATTTTCCCACCAGATACCAGTGATCTGTGGTGTGACAGATCTATCAATCAACCCTTGGGAATAAGTAAGCAAGCTTTGGATAGAGGCTACACGCACTCATCATCATGCACACTCATAATATTAAGATGTGAAGAATCTCATACATGGAAGATTATCACCTGCCACACTTAGCATTAGTAAATATTTGTTGCTTACCCCTGGAAAAAAATGTAAATAGTAGACTGACTCCGTAAAGCCTTTGAACACACCACCCTAACATCAGGTGGTGTCTGCTGCCATGCAATGAAATACATTCAAATAAACAGGCAGCTCAGAACAAGCGTATGAAAACAACATAGAAGGAATAGTGAGAAAAGAAAAAAAAATACAGGAGTAACAGGGAAAATCTCCAAATGTTTCTGCTTTGGCTTTCTTATTTAAGGTTATTTAAGGTCCTGAGGTCTTTTAGGGAAAGCGATGCTACACAAACTATCAGAAAAAAAAAAGTGAGCATTGTGAACATGGGAACCTAGGTAGAAACACTGTGTATTTTAGCATACATGAAATTAATCTAAATAAATAGTCCCGTATAGTTAAGCCATTACATTTTATCCCGAAAAGCATACCGTACAAGGAAATACCATCAGGGCAGGTACTGTGTACAGTAACCTAAACTTCCCCTTGAAGCACCTGCAACCCACATGAGAGCGCTGATACGGATCCCCGTTACACTGATTCCAATGCGGCTTGCAGCTGATGGGACTGGGGCTGCAGTCAGTGATGACCAAAGTAGTGGGTCCCTGCCAACCACGTTTGAGATGTTCATGGAGTTCTAGGCTCCTAGCTTTGACCCAGCCCAGTCCTGGTCGTTGGGGACACTAAGGGGATGAATCAATGGGCAGAAAATTTCTGTGTCCCCCTGTTTTTATCAATCATCTTTCAAATAAATAAATCTTTTTTTGGAAAAAAAAAATACAGTGCCTTCTATTCTTTTACAATGACATTCACATTTTTTAGAATTTTATATTAAAAGCAATAAATATTGTATCTAGAGTGTTAGGTCACACTTTGGGAGATTATTTTTTTGGAATTTTTAAATCTTTACACAATACACTTTTAATCACTCACAAGTTTGACTTTATTAATGATAATATGCTGTTAACATAAACAGAAATGTTGTACAATGCATTTATTCTGAGAGATTTTTTTAACCTCAATTTCATGCACCCTCTAAAATCCCCCCATTTTTTGCAGCAGATAGATTTTCATTATATGAAGCCTTTAAAATTTACTTTGCATCATGAATGGCACAAAAAGTCACAAATCAGTCCATTCTTTAAAACAATAATCTGAACAGAATATAATGGAAACTTAAACTTTTTAATTAGAAGTGAAAACCAACATCACGCCACTTAATGTTAAAAATCATTGTCCTTTCAAAAAGATGCCAAAATTGCTCCCATGTACTATAAATAATTCCATGTACAACAAGTAGCATGGGACATGAACATTCTTTCTGCCATTTATTCAGCTTCCTGACAGAAATCAACCTTCATATCTGAATTTCATCACGAGTCTTCAGACTCAAAATGGCTGATGAAACTTGTGCGTGAAAGCATACACACACACATTCACAGAAAGCGCCTTCACTGTTCTAAACGAAGGGCACCATTTTGGGAAAGATTTCTGAGAGGGCACACTCAAAGGAGAGGTGAAAGTGGGGCTGTATGTAGCACGCCGGAAAAACAGGACATCTCTGATTATTCTGCGTGAAATATGCCCTTTGAATTATTCAGATATTCCAATCTCCTTTCACAGGAAATGGGTTGGCTCTGGACCAGCAAGAAAGCACACAATCAATTTAACAGAGAACAGGTACCTCTCTGCAGGGAAATAAATCAATTGGCCTCTACTAAATAAACACAACTTGGGTTTTCTTAGATTACTCTTATCCTGGCTATCTACAAAAGTTGCGACACCTTTAAATTTTAAGATTAAGTTGTCAGTGTCTGTTCTAATGGGAGCTTTTCTTTAGTTTCTGGAAGTGGAGGGGTATAGACATCCACATTAATTTCTGTGCCACACGACTTTAATAATTCAGAATGCCATTGTCTGTTGAGGGAAATGGGTACATCTCATAGGCCTAGAGAAGCTTAATGCATCTTTTAGACAGAAAGAGCCTAGGAATCACTATGATTCAAAACATGGAATTGCTTAAGCTAAGGCAAACGGGAAGGTACTTTTGAACAGTGTTAATCTTTGTCACAATTGGGTACCGAAGCACACAGGAGACGCCAGCAACTGTGAAAAGAGCCAATGCCATCAAGAGGGATTACTTTTAAAACCACCTCACCCATATGTCAGAGATAGCAAGACAGAAACAAAAAGGTCACAAGCTGCTTTAGATGCATTGACTACAAAACTGGGGAAAATCATCAACAGCTTATTTTTATTCATTATAATGATTTCACCAAGGAAATCTTTAAAGGGTAAATGGAACTTCTCTGAGCCAATGAATGATTAATTTGGTCACCTTGCCCCAGAGTGGCTTTGCATCAGAGAGGGTAGAGCGATCGTAAGTTAGCAACTGTGCCTCTGCCCCATCCTTGATAAATGTGGAAATATTCAACCACAGCAGTCTCATGATATCATACACTAAGAGGGGTGTACACATGTTGTGCACTTGCTCTCAGAAACCACTAGTTTTCTTCTCTGGCACAGACACTGCAAGATCAAAATGGTGCCCCTTGTTTGTCTTAGACATGGGAGTATATCCACGTTTCTTAAATAATTCATTTCCCGTCATTCCTGACATCCCTCCTCACACCTCACAAAGCAGCAATCACTCCCACATCTAATTGACTACAGATGACTGCGTTTGTCTATACGCTTTACATTTCATCTCTCCAACTCTCTGTTTTGAATGTATGAACTGGGCAAAACCCAGGATTTGTGAAAATTCATATGCTAAAAAACTATGCATGAAATTTAAATTTTTCTTGTATCAAAATAAACCTTTCTGGGCCAATGCTGTGGCACAACACATTTAGCTGTCACCTGCAAAAGTCGCATCCCATGCAAGTGCCAGTTTAAGCCCTGACTGCTGCATTTCCTATCCTGTTTCCTGCTAATGTGCATGGAAAATACTAGTGGGGCCCAGCGCGGTGGCGCAAGTGGTTAAAGGTCCTCGCCTTGCACGCCCGGGATCACATATGGGTGCCAATTCTATCCCGGTGACCCCACTTCCTTTCCAGCTCCCTGCCCGTGGCCCGGGAAAGCAGTCCAGGACGGCCCAAAGCTTTGGGACCCTGCACCTGTGTGGGAGACCTGGAAGAGGCTCCTGGCTTCGGATCGGCATAGTATCGGCCCGTTGCGCTCACTTGGGGAGTGAATCATCAGAAGGAAGATCTTCCTCTCTGTCTTTCCTCTCTGTATATCCGCCTTTCCAATAAAAAAATAATAAAATAAATCTTTAAAAAAAAAAAAGAAAAAGAAAATACTAGAGGGTGGAAGATCTCTCTCTATCTCTCGCTATTTATATGAGTGCATATGTGTGTGTGCAAATTCTCTCTCTCTCTACACACACACATATATGTTTGTCCCTCTAATTCTATCTTTCAAATTACAAGAAATAACAAATTTAACTTTAATTCACTTTGCCATAAACTTTTGGAAATACTTTATGTGTTAGCATAAACAGACATACTTACACTTTATGAAACAAAATGTTATACAGATGTGTGATTTGAAAGCACTAAACAGAAAAGGTGGAAAACAAGATGAAAATTTATTGAGAGTGCAATAGGAAATTGAAAAATTCGACTTTTCCCATATTATTCTATATCTCCTGGTATTTAGTGCATACATTTTGAAGTGTTTACTTACAATCTTGAATTAGAACATTACTCTTTGATAAAATATGAAATGACAGCCTAGGTAAAATATAAAGCTCCTTAGGCAGACACTGCAGAGGAATAAATGACTTCAAAAGTTTGACATGCCTGTAAACCCAACCAGTCTCCACATCTCGCCTTGATCATTTCTCTCATTTCCTTTTGGTCTAATTAATCAAAATCCCCTCATTTCTGGTCATTCTGTCTTCCTGAATATGAATAAGAAATTAAATACCATTTGATGTTTGAAATTATGGGTGTAATCTCAATGACGGAAATGGATGGCCAGGGAAAGGAAAAGAGTGCCTGATTAAATATATTCATTAAGATGCCAAAGGTTTATAAAGCCAATGGGTGTGAATGAGAAAACCGCAGGATTCCAGACCTTCCCTGGAGAGGTGTGCTCCCTGTGGACACCACTACCATGGACAGCAAGTGGACATTGAGGAAAGGTATGTACAACTCTCCAGAGTTACAAACTGCATCAATGATCTAGTGGGAGGACGGGGAAATTGATGTGAAGTTTTAGCTAATTCCATGAAGTTTTAACTTTACAGAGCTTAGAAGAACTACCTATTCATGACTCCAGAAGCCAATTACAAGGCACAATTTAACAGCACTTTGTAAATGGGGGGGAGGGGTGGGGCGGAATCTACCTTTGGCCAAAGTCTCTAACAATGTGTAGAAGTTTGGGGTTGTTCTTACTTTTGCTGGGAGAGCCAGGGGCAGTGTGCTGCCGATGTCTGCTGGATAGGACTTAGGGACGCTGCTAATTAGCATGCAATGTGCAGGACTGCACCTACAGGAATACCAACGAGGTTGAGTATAAGAACGTGGATGAGAATGAGATTAAAAGAACCTATGATTGCAAGTTCTCACAATTCTACACGGCAGAAACTGACATTTTCTGGTTACCCAGGTCTCTAGACTACATTGGGCCAACTTAAATCAAAGCGATGATAACTCAATTCTGAAGCTGTAATGTCAAGATGATAGCAGAATTGTGCCCTATATTAGTCATGTTGTTCAAGCCGAATACCATTTCAAAAGGAAAAATAGGCTAGTTAATAACTAAATGACTTGACTTTCTTGGTGATATTTGAAAGAAAAATAAATTAGTTATAACCATAAAATTTGTTTTATGAAATGAATAACAAAAACATTTGTCTATTTTATCTCATCTGAGACTGTGAACAGTCCATAGAAGATAAAAGGGCACGGGAATACATAAAGAACATGTATCCAGTTGTGAATTTCTTATAGTCAGTGCTACAACTTCTCTATCTGCAAAGAACATTTAATCTGTAGATAAAATATCCATTTAGCTACATTCCACGGCTACACCATGTCTGAATCTTTTAGAAATGTCTGTAATATGAATCAGCTTGCAACCTTAACACATTTTATGTTTGCAGCTAAAACTCTGCTTATAGTGTATAATAAATAGATAGAAGATATTCAGGTTCTAGTAATTTTTCACACATAAATCTTTAGGATTTGCTTAATTTTGGAAATATCCAACTCTTTTATCACAAGTTCTGTGGTATTTTGTTTTCTGACAAACACATGTTCACATCATGTATTTTGGAGTAGTGTCATTAAAGTAAAACAGGCAAGTTTAATTTGGAAATTGTGTGTTTCTTTCCCTTGGAAAACATTAAGATCCTGATATGCTAAAGGTCTATAACCTTAATCATCTAAGATGGCAGATTGATGAGAAGACTATCTTTGAATAGGAATTTTATAGATCGGGCAGGAAAAGTGCATTGGGTGGGGCTTCTTGGGATGTCTTCCATCTGTCATTGAAAGCCAGGAGCTGTTCTTTGCCAGAGCCCCTGCGAAAACCGAGCTGCCTGGGCTGCCGAGGTGTTCCCTCCTATGCAGACGCAGCCTGAGAGTCCACAGGTGTGTGTGATGCGACAAGGTGAAACGCAAAGATCAAAGCACTGACATTGTGTCTCCTTCAGCTGCTGATAATAGGACTAGGGGGAAATCACTCGACCTATCTTAGCTGTCTGTTTCATCAGAATAATTTGATGATAATTATGATGTCTAATCCATCTCACATGGCTACCGTGAAGCTCAAACTTAGGCAGGAGAAGGGACGGAAATGTGAAGCTTTTGGCCAAGTGTCAAGCAAAGGATTGAAGTTATTCTAGAGAGATAGCAGAGCCAAGCTACAGAATCATTTTTATATTAGAATTCTCTTCATGCTCACTATTAGCAATCAAGCAACAACGGATTTATTCTTATCAGGTATGAAGATTAAGACAAACAGATCAGCTGTTGACATCACTTTGGCGTCCAAAACACAAACCTCAGATCACACTGAGTTTAAAAATGACAAATTCCTGGAAAGTCCAACTACCAAACATCTGCAGAAATTCCTAAGACATGAAACTGTCTTGAAAGAATGACTCAGACACCCTGGCTCAAAATTAACTTCCATTCCAAATGTATGCAAGGTATAGATGCACTTCTGGGTGTAATAGAAAAATGCAAGGAGTCACTGCACTTCTCAAACTACATATGTATTCAAACATAATTACCTCTATGAATTTATACACAGAATGTTCCGAGAGCTCCCCGCCTGTGGCTATTACGGTGCCATGCAGGGCAGCAGGAAGAAGCAAGGCTTCTCTCAATAGGCTCACTTTTTTTTTTTTAAAGATTTATTTTTATTATTTTTTTCATTGGAAAGGCAGATATACAGAGAGGAGAGACAGAGAGGAAGATCTTCCATCCGATGATTCACTCCCCAAGTGAGCGCAACGGGCCGATACTATGCCAATCCGAAGCCAGGAGCCTCTTCCGGGTCTCCCACGCGGGTGCAGGGTCCCAAAGCCTTGGGCCGTCCTCGACTGCTTTCCCAGGCCACAGGCAGGGAGCTGGAAGGGAAGAGGGGCTGCCGGGATTAGAACCGGCGCCCATATGTGATCCCGGGCGTGCAAGGCGAGGACCTTCAACCACTTGCGCCACCACGCCGGGCCCAATAGGCTCACTTTTGACAGCCTCACGGAACAGATCATCTCTGATGCCTTGTGTTTCTATTTAAGCAGGGTCACTCCTGCTCCTGCTGCTGTTGAACTTCCTCCTGTGCAAGGGAGCAGCCTCCCTGCCCATCTGTCCCAATGGAGCCGCCAACTGCCAGGTGTCTCTACGGGATCTGTTTGAGCGTGCGGTCATCCTGTCTCACTATATCCACAACCTCTCCTCAGAGATGTTCAATGAATTTGTAAGTACCGCATTTACTTGCTTCGAAAGCCTTCATGCAGATCAGTGGGCCATTCATGCTTTATTTTTACATTTTTAATTGACACAAACAATGGTACGCATTTATGGGGCAGTCTGGAGTTTCTATATACACGTATGTTGTCTAATGTCCAATTGGAATACCTACACCCATCTCCCGTGTACTGACTGGGAAAGATCGGGAGCCAAATTTCAAATAGGACACTCTCCTAGATTAAGGAAAGGGTGAGCTACAGATTATGGAACTAAAAGAGACAGGTGCTTGAATGCTCTAACAATTGTCAAGTAACATTCAAGCTTAAAAACATTGATTTACTTTATTTTAAACATCTGGTGTGAAGCACTTTTAGATGATGTCGAGAAGAAAGGATGTTACTTTCTCATTCTTACAATGGTTCACCAGATAACCAATAAATGAAGGTTCACTAAAGTGTGCTGCACGGATTGGATAGAATTAAACTAAAATGAATTCGTGCCATGGGGAAAAAAAAGGTTTTTAAAAAACCCCTAAGTGCTACAAATGATTCTTCTAACATTTCTACTTTATAGACTTATAATTACAGGGGAAGGCTGATTAGATTTGGAAACAGGTACTCCCTTCCTGAGTAAAGTACTCTGAAAGCTGAATGTTAACTCTCCCAGGTCAGTCAAAACCAAGGATCAGACAATAGATCAGAGCTGCGAGAAATCAAAGGACATCCAGAGAAAATGCAGCTCAGTGTTGCTAACCAGTGTGTCTTCATCCATCTTCATAAACTCCTGTCCATTCCCTAGCTTTTCTTTTACCCTCCGTTTCTGTCTGCCCGTCTTCTGTCCTCCACTTCTTCTCAGCAATTGCTTGGAACCTTCATACTTTTCCTCTGGCAATGTTTAGCTTTTTCTCTGCTCAATCATTTCCAACCATTTCTTAATGTTCCCTAAAATTTGATGCCCTTTGTTTCTGATTTACTGTATCACAACCAATAAAATTGTATCCTGAATCAATGATGAACCTGGTAAAACACACATGTGGGAATTCAGAGGTTATTCAAAGAGTTTAGAATGTTATAATGTCTATTAGGAAAGCATATCAGTTTGAATTCACAGTAAATAAGATGTAATAGACAAATATAGAATATACACTGTGGCATTTGGCCCAAATACTAGAAAAAGATGATGCTTAATGATGAGACATGCTATCTTTAGTATTTGCTTTCCAAATAGTAATTTGTAGGAAGGATGAAAAGAAGGTCAATGCTATAGGGAATCATGGAGAAAGGAAAAGGTTGGGAATTTAGAAAAGTTGCATGGGAAAATTTATAGACTTAAAGAAATAATGGGGGGGAAAAGCAGAAAGGAGGAATACTTCCTTAACTCCTCAGTCTTTTTATAAAGTCTGCATTAAAAAAAAAAAGCTTGGCATCTCTCACATGTATTAATATTTTGGTAATGGAATGCCTGGTTCAGTGCCCAAACAACTTTATCAAGTGACTGTTCTTCATCCTGTCCAGGATAAACGGTATGCCCAGGGCAGAGGGTTCATCACCAAAGCCATCAACAGCTGTCACACTTCATCCCTCCCAACACCGGAAGACAAGGAGCAAGCCCAACAGATTCACGTGAGTCTTTTTTGCCACAACAGTAAGCCAGTACAGTGGGACTACCATGCTGTCATTATTAGAGGGACAGGAGCAAGTAATGATATCCACACAGCAGAGAATAGCCACAGAAGGGTAACAACAAAAACCACACCACTGATAAACAGTAAGTAAAATTCAACGCTCATTAAAATTGGTTGTGGCCCACTCCACAACACCTTCCTAAGTTTCCTAGGTAGATGGCATTATGCTACTCAATGCCTTGCACTTAGGATCATATACATGACACAGAGAGTTTGAACCAGATTAGACATCCATGCAGATGTAAGAAATGCAAATACCACCTTTGTTATCACACGTGGCTAGGGACTCCTGCTTTGGCAGCATTTGACATGTCTGCCTGCTGAAAAATTCTAGTCAACTCTTGTTTCTTTAATTTCTCTGATATGCACGCCTTCAATCTTTGGCTCTTTTGCCCTCTCCCAAGGCTTAATTAAAAGTTACCCCACTAGGCAGTTCCTAAAACTATATTATATTATGCTTCCTGTAGCTGCAACTATTGCCTTTATTCTGATGACAGCAAATCTGCATGTCAAGCCCTAACCAGGAATCCAGCATTTGTACTGTTATAACCTCTTGCTACAGATACCACACTGTAAACAAAATCGTAACACAATTCAACATAAACATCTCTGTATACACAACCTGTTTGCCCTGCACAATTTTACTTGTGGCACTGCACTAACACTCTACCTCCTAGGCAAACTAATATCAATTATGATCATTTGACTAGGAGGAGGAGGAGGGACAATATTTGTTGAGGGCTACCACCTTGCCAGACATTTCCTAAAGCATATTATGTACATCAGTGTATCTAAAACCTCACAGGACCACCACCTCACAAGGTTCTGTCACGGCATGTACTGAAACAAGGAACAGAGCTCAGCACAGTTATATCATTTACATGTGAGACGTGAATGTGGGATTCATTCAACCCAAAGCCCTTACACATAATGGTGATGCCAGTGTTTCCAGCCAAAGGTGCTACCATTCAGTGTTCCAATTTTAGTAAATGTGCTGCCAAAGCAAGCACTCCATTCAGTGCTAATACCTCTGTTCTTTCACATGCTTGTATATGTTTTCATTACAACATCTACTTATTTTTTTTCCTCTACTCATTTTTATTACCACGCAGTATTTTTAACTCACAACTAAGTGCTCATAGAAGATCTTGGTAGAGCCTAAACTGGAGGTCAACACTGCAGCATGCAGTCCATGGATGCTGCCATAATGACAGTTTTACAACATCACCTTCACTAGTGCACACCAGCCAACTAGCCTAACCCAGCCAAGCTGTCTGCTCTGCTGGCAGCAGGGGTACACTGAGGAAAGTCTGGTTGTGCATGTCACAACTCCTTTATTACCCCTTTCTTCTATTATCCAAAAATTAAGCTGCAACTCTCAGGTGAAATTATTAATGAACAGTCTGATTCCTCACTTTGGATTATATACTTAGCTGAAAGGGATTCGACTCCTTGTCATGGACACATACGGAATCTGTCTTTCCCAAATTAGTCTCATAGATACCTGCTGAGTTCAGACAAACTTTACTTTCTCCACAGGGAACAAACAAAGCAATCAACTTTAAAGGTCTCATTGGGTGGGTGATAAACACATCCTTCAGTTTATAAATCCAAAGTGTTTAGCCAAAGTAGCTAAAGAAGTTTGGTTGGTTGAATTTCAGCAAGGTGTAATTTAGTAGTTTAGATTTTGTATTCTACAACCTCGATCATATTCACTTAGGAAATTCAAACGTAAATTTCTAGAGTGCTTAGCTTCTTTTCATGTGATTGTTCCCTATGGTGGCTTAGCATGAAGACCTTCTGCGCGTGGTCCTGCGAGTGCTGCGCTCCTGGAACACCCCCCTGTATCACCTCGTCTCAGAAGTGCGAGGCATGCAAGAAGCTCCTGACACCATCCTGTCTAAGGCTGTGGAGATTGAGGAACAAAACAGGCGACTTCTCGAGGGCATGGAGAAGATAGTGGGCCAGGTGAGCAGTTTCCTGCCACGTCTTCCACCTGTTAAAGAAACAGGTGACCTCTGTGGGAGCAATTAGCTTTCAAATACCTCACTTGGCCATAATGAAATTAAAGCATTCTCTCTTCTAGACTTGTATTAAACAAACGCCTTGAAAAAAAAGCTTTCTTCCAAGTGTACTAAGACAAGGCCATACAAATGGGGATCAGATTCTTAATCTTTTCCCACACCAGAGTATGAGTGTGGGAAAAGGTAAAAGAGAAAATCAAAACCACATTGAGAGATTTCCCTTTGCCCTCACTCTTACCTGCTGAAAGGCTTTGTCAAAGAGGGAGGAAATTGAAAAGACGAAGCCTCAGCATCAATGGTGTTTCATCAGCAATACAAATCAAGAGGTCACAGAAGAAGAGGGTATATTATTTCTAAAGTATTCCTTACTTTTTGATTTATTAAAAATCCATCCAAAATTTTGTTTTGCTTGAGGCTCCTAGATCAGAACTCCTGCATACATTTCAGTTTCCCCAAATCCTTTCTCATACTTAGATTGGATGGGATCTGCAAAACGTTATCTCCATTCAGATGGGATAATTTCAACATTAGAAAGATAACAGCTAAACTATTTTCTGAAGTTCTCAGAAATAATGCATCATCTGAAGAAAACTATATGATTACAGGAATAATAATAGAAGCAATTCTATATTTCTCTTTTTTGTGTACATGTTATCATGTGTCATTTTTGTCATTTTCATGAGAGAAGAGTATATCCAACACAAATACAAAGCACATTTTAACCCCAGAAATGTATGAAATAAACACCTTGATTTTCAAGTGATTTTCTTCATTACCCTGAGGCTACTCTTTGAGATCACTTATTTGCTTTGTAATATCTCATTTTCTATTCCTTTTCTCCTACCACTTATTCTTCTTGTATAACTGTAGTTCACACAAGAAATTTTGTCTTATGGCTCCAGTATATCAAAATATAAAAAAGTAAGGTCTATAAAGCTAGGCAATAAATATAAATTCTAATAGATACTTCCAGATTTTAAAATAATCCATATCCTGTAGGAGAAAAGGGGAACAGATCAAGATCCCAAATTTCTTCCTAGAGTTCTGCAAACTAGCCACACGCATAAAATTACCAAGACATGCACCCGGTCTCTGGGAATGCTCAGCTTGCGAAGGCTGATGGCCTGCGAGGACAGCATGCTGCTCCCTGTGTCATGCTGCTGCCCATCTCTTCCCTGTCAGTCATGCTCCAGCCCTCACACTGCACAGAAGGCTTGCCGCAAGCTCCTCCTTCTCACAGGTCCTTTCCCCAGCCACCCCGCCCTCAAAGGCCTTCAAAGCAAGCAGCTGTTCCTCAGACTTTAGAGGTATCCATCCTGGGTGGAATAACAGGTGATCCCACACATTTTGAAAAGCATACGCATGTGTCCTGCTTCTACTTTTTAGGCTTCTGATAGATTCCTGTGCGCTAGCACAGATACAGCAACATCCATGCTTTTGGTTAAGGTTTTTACATTCCCACCTCTTCCCAATTCTTAACTGGATAATCAGAACAAACAAGGCTATACAAATACTAATGATTATGAGTAACAGGTCACATTTTGTGTGTGATGTGAGACTAGGTTCATCCTGGAATCAAAGAAAATGAGATCTACTCCGTCTGGTCGGGACTGCCCTCCCTGCAAATGGCTGATGAAGATGCCCGCCTTTTTGCTTTTTACAACCTGCTCCACTGCCTACGCAGAGATTCCCATAAGATCGACAACTATCTCAAACTCCTGAAGTGCCGAATCATCTATGACAGCAACTGCTGAGCTGCATCAATTCCATTTATGAAATAATTTTCAGCCATCCCATGGCAAGCTTCTTCTAGTTTTATACCTTTTTAGTGTATGCTGGGGTGTGTGGGATCTTCTTTTAAAAAAAAAATAAAAGCCAAATCTAAAGGTATCAAAATCTAAAAAGCCACTTTGTCCAAGTTTCTTCTCTACATTTTTAAAGAAAGTTCATTGCTACTAAGACGTTCCTATCAAAACCTGTCACAAATAATAGAAGTTATCATTGTACAAAAGACAACAGCTTGTTTTGGAATCGTGGTAAACTTCTGTGGGTCAGGTTATCAGAATTAAAAAGTAAGATGACTTTGAAGCAAGCTAACACTATCACAAAGAAGACTGGAGTTTTCAGGATCCTCTATGACAGCCAGTTGTATTCTAAACATCGATTTTCCTGATGCTTTGACACACAATGAAAATTCTGCAGAACTGAAAATGCTCACAGATAACATGAGGTTTACTGAATAATCTGAAACTCCTTAGGACACACATGAATCAGCATGGATGATCTCTACTGGCTGATTTCAACCATGGTCTATCAGTTCCCTCTTCCTTAGCATCACGTTGGACACACTGCATAAGATCTACTCACTCTGAGTTGAACAAGTCCAGTCCACGTAAAGCTCAAGTCCATTAAAATAATGAAATTATTTAATTACTACTTAATCTACTATGGTTGCTCCCCAGGGTATCTTAGGGAGTCCCACAAGCAGACAAGTTCAGTTTCTGTCATGGAGATTTTCTTCCCCCTTCCTCTGCTGGATCTCTACTCCTCTGGCTATGTCGGACTGGGAGAGAAGATTAGGAAAGGTGGAAGAATTCTAACATCGCTGACTTATGTGATGCTACTGCGGTGTCTTGTTGCTGACAGGGACTAACCTCGAGCCCCTCTGAGTGACAGGTGCTTCCCTTTGGGGGCAACCTTTTGACTTTAAAGGACATGCATCATGGCGATGCTTCACTAGAGAGTTCCTTTAAAGAGAGGAAGGCTCGACTTGGTTCTCCTTCCCACCCCACAGCTTTGCCATCTGCAGTATTCTCCATAGCTTTGCTGCTGCTCCTTTACTGACACCCTCTTGGAACCTAGCCTGAGCTCAGGTATCTGCCAAGTGACCCACAGGAAACTCATGTATCACAGCCACTCCAAACAGTGGAGTAGCAACAGTATTGGATCACTGCTGATGCCTTCTGCAGTCTTTATCATTTCTGCTTAGCTGCTCACATAGAATGTATCAGCAGCTGGACTCCTTTGCAAATATGCACCTGAGCGATGAGACACTATCATATCCTCCTTTTACACTCGTCAAAGTCATTTTCTCTACCAACAACAATCTCAGAGAATCAGTTTCACAAACATTCCCTAGTAGGTCACTGGATTACATAACCACCTCATTAAATACTTCATCTCTATGTACTGAGTCTAGAGAGAGGAGCACTGGTGTCAAGTGCCTTCAAAGAGCCTGAATAAGGCTGGTCTCATCATCTGCTCACCACTGATGGCAGTGCCACGGCCAAGCAGCAACATTCAGGCTTTTATAAGGATTCTACACAACAGACAAGGGAAAACAGACTATCCAATAATCCACAGACATGAAATGAAATGGTGAGTGAGTGGATTGAAGAGAAAGAAGAGGAGCAGGGAAGGAAGGAAGGGTGGAAAGACAAGAAGAGGGAAAGCTGGGTCATGAAGGGTAAGATGCCATCAGAATCTCTGACTTGGTGAACACTGAAAGTTAGCTTGATTCTTATATCCTAAAAGAAAATTCCATCCCATGCTCTCTCTTCGTGTTCCTTTTGTCTTTGATCAGAAATATGCTTTGACATTCCCAAAAGAATTGTCACTTCCAGAGATAAGCAGAACCTGGTGTTTCTTCTGATCAAAATTCAAGGCAAGTTCAACTCTTTTAAGGAAAACCTCTCATACTTGCAGGAACATCACTCTATAAAACTTATTTATTTTCTTACTGCCAGGGTTATTTTTATCTAAATACTGTTCTTGCCTATAACTGCAATGATTCAAACATTTAAGAATTCAAAAGAATTACTTTTGCACCAGAACAATGCATCAAATCCACCATTTCCTGCTGAATGCATGTAAAATGCTAGCTCCCTTGCATCTTAGTCTTCTTGTAAAAGGCAAGAAAGTAAAAGGAAGGCTTATATATAGTTTATTTGTCAGTAATTTATCACTGAAAACACCTAATTCCATTGCCCTGCATTTAACTTCCTTCCCATCAATGTCCAAATAGCTTCAACAGGTTTGATGTGTTTATCAGAACTGAAAGCCCACAATAAATGTACAATGCAATTGTATAAAACATAAACTTATCACCAACTCACAGTTTCACATACACGATATTCTATATGTTCTTATATAGTATTCCAAATACAGAGGAACTTCTGGTAGCCTCTGAGGGTTTATACTAGACCGGGACACATAAGCTGAATACACTCTTTTCATACAAAGCTTGCTATAATCATAAACGTTCTGCAGTCATTATGGAGTATCACGAAAGAGGACATCCTCGAGTATGTAACAAGCACTCCCTTCCAGCCAGAGAAAGGCTTTTCTCCTTCTTCTCTGATGGATGTTCATGCAGGATTTTATTAGAAAAATTAGTCCTACTAAGAATAACAGGGATCATTTTAAAACAGAAATTTTTTTAAAAATCACAGAAAGTCTTTCATCTCATGGGTTAGCAAATCACACATCATGATTACTAGAAGGCCTAAAAGAGCAGGAAAATTCTCCACTCCCAGGAACTGACTCTCCAGTAGCAGAGAAAGGGTAAGAAAGTATACATATTATAGAACTTAATATATACAGAGGGAAAGCAGTCATTATAACAGACAACACTACACCAAGCACTTCAGCCAGTGGAAGGACAACTAGGTGACATCCGGGTGACAGTACAAGCAGGTATTTCTGGAGTGGCCTGATGATGACAATATTTTTAAGGAATGATGGGACCCAGCAGGCAAAACTCCAAAAACAGCTTATAAGCAAATCAACTTAGAATTGTCTTATAGGAATAGCTATGGCCTACATCCTAAGCAAATGAACTGAGATGCTAATCCCCATATAGTATGATAAGCTATGAATAAATAACAAAATTTGGTCCAAACATAGGAAATAATCATCTTTTAGCAGGCTCTTTATAACTCTTTATTGTATACTGCATATATTACTGTAGGGCTTAAAAGGAGAAAACTCTAATAAGGACCATTTCTGAACAGTGGAACGGTATTTGAGTCATTAAAAAGCCTGCACACATTTGAACAGGCAATAGAAAATCAGCCAATTCTAGTGTAAGAGAACTCTGCCCAAAATCAGAAAAATGAAATTTCAGGCTGGTTTTGCAATTGTGAGACTACAGCCAGGCAGAGAAACAAAAGAGATTCAGAAACAAGCTAATATAATATTATAAACCTCTAAAAGAAAATCAACAGGGACTCTGCCAAGAAGAATAAAGGAGATAGTGTCTTCAATGAATGCATGGTAAACACACATAAGAAAAACGTGATGAATTTCAAATTTTTTCCTCCAAAATAAATATCTTTCCAGCCAATCTTCCACAAATTCTTCAAAGCGATCCTTCCAACAGAAACATCAACAGGCCTCGATAAACAGAACAAGTGCACAAAAGCATGACACTTAAAAACTTGAGCTCACAGAAGTAAACGAATGCTGGGAAACCTGCAAAGACGCAAGGGAAACTTCAGGTTTTGTCCAAATGCACAAAACTTTGCTTTCCTACATTTTATTAACCGTGTGTCTGAAATCATCAAAAATGTTATTACTTAGGCAAGTCCCAGAAATGAGCAGATTTAATGCTTCTCTGCTGGGCAGAATAACAAATAAGAGCAAGAGATTCACACTTCCCGACAATAACAAGCTGTAAATTACTGTCTCCTTCAACATTTAGATAAGAACTAAATTGTAAAGCGTGGTAGATTAGTAAAAATTAAATTGAGTGATCCATTTCTTTTCAGGGCCAATCCTAATTAAACCAAGCTAAAGCAGGACTCTCCTTCAACTTCTTTGCACTTTTTCCAAACATTTCTTACTATTCTAATTCTATTCCTTTCTTTTTACTTCTGTCTTACTCTGAGAAGGTAGTCGGTGATATGACAAATCACCTAAGTTTTAAATTCCACTTCTATAATAATATCATGTTTAGAGATTCTTGAAAGTAAACAGCTTTCTCCTGCCAAAATAATTTTTTTTAAAGTCAGAATCACCAATGGATAGATCAGTCTTCCATCCTCTGGTTCACTCCCCAAGTGGCCCCAACTTTCAAATCTGGGCTGGTAAAAAGTCAGGAGCCAGGAGCTTCTTTCAGATCTCCCACATGCGTGCAGGGGCCCAAGGCTTTGGGCCACACACCCCTGCTTTCTCCGGCTATTAGTTGGGAGCACGGTGGAAAGCGGAGCAGCTAGGACTCAAACCAGGAGCCTTAAGGGATGACAGCACCACAGGTGGGGATGGCCTGACACACCACTGGCAAGATAAGAAAAACCTTAACAGTGGAAAGACTCCCAGGCAGTAGCTCTCCACAGCCAAGTGGAACTCAAATACTTAAAAACATTTTGTGCTTACCATAATCTATGTGAGTTTAACTGATAAAGACAGATGAGAAAATGAAAGAAAATTTTTTTAAAAATGCTTGAATGGCATGTCAACTTGATGGGAAGCAGGTGAGCCTGATCAGGGATAGCTTCCCAGGTGAAGGTGCCGTGGGAATTGGTACTGAGCGCTTCGTACAACTCAAGGGTTGGAAACACGGAGTCCCTGGGGCAGGTCTCTGGTGCAGCAGTGAAGACCCTGCTTGGGCTGTCCACACCTTGCACAGGAATATCTGGCTTTGAATTCCAGCCTTGGTTCCAACTTTTTGTCTTTGTGTACCCTGGGAGGCGGCAGCTTTGGCTCAAACAGTGACTCACTGCCACCATATGGGAAATTCAGACTGGATTTGGGT